TTTTTTTTTTTTTTTTTTTTCCGTTCGTCTCCAGTTTTGCAAAGAAAAGCGGTGTAAACTGGCAGCGTTGCACATGCGGGCTGTTTATGTTGTGTTCCATTGTGAATGCAGCGTTCCAAACTGACCTTGCGAATGCAGAGTTCCAAACTGACCTTGCGAATGCAGACTACATCCAAGCGTGCCCGCCTGTGGGTGTCTGTGTCTGTTTGTGGTTGTCGGTGTTTCGCTCACGAAGTTGCTACACACAGACAATCTAAAAGTGAGCGTTTATTAAGCAGTGCTCTAGGCCATGTGTTAATTTTTCCCATTTACTCTGCCCCCGTCCTTCATCCTGTGTGTTCGGCGTATTACTGAATATTATAAATATGGTGATAGATAACTTTGTGTCAATATGTGAACGTTTCAAAAGGAGTTGCCACTATATTACGGTATGGTTGTTGTCAGGTTCGTAGTCCTTGTTGTTCATGTGTTTTGATCTGTTGTCGTTTGTCATGATCCTTCATCATCTTTGTTGTAATTATTATTCCATTCAGTAATTTCAATTTGTGTTTGTTTGTTTGTTTGTTGTTTTTGTTGTTGTTTTAATCGTCATTGTGAGTACCTTCATGGTTTGCGTTTTATTTGTTTCGTCTTTATTGCTCGCTGTTGGAGTTGTTCCTGCTGTCATCATTTTCACTGTTTGTCGGAAGAAGCCTGAGGTGTAATAACCCTGTTCAGAAATAGCCTGGGGCCCAGAACTCAGCCCCTGGCCACGCAGAACTGAGAAGGTCTGCGCTGGGCTGTGTGACCAAGACATGCCCAGGCCTGAGGCTGTCGAGTGTGGCTGTGTGACCGAACGCTGCACACAGGAAATTCAAGAGTCAAAGTCAACTGTAGCACCCGGGCCCTGGGTTGGATACACTCACTTGTTGTGCGCAGGTACCCAGACAGCATCCAGGCCGGAGGGAATTCGGTTTCAGGCCGATCTGAGCCCTCATTCACATTGAGATCTGGACGGCCGAGGGATACAGCATCCGGGGTCCAGACCCCGCGTCAACACTACATTAGAGTTGACTTCCTGGCTTTGACATTCATCCTGTCTTGCGTTGATGCTGACTTCACGCGTTGACTTCAACGCTGGCTCGACGCTGCGACGCTGGCTCGGCGCTGCTGGCATTGTGACTTGGCGAGGCGCTGCTAGTACCGACATGGTGGCCGGCTTGCTCCTGTCTTCTTGGCATGCTGACGTGGCAGCTGCCATCCGCCGTCACTGATGTGGCTGCTGCCACGTGTATTCTGACGTGGCTGCTGCCACGTGTTCTGTGGCTATGACTTCGTGATCGGCATTGCTGTTCTACTTCATCGTCACTTCAGGAGGAGATCAGGACTGTGGAGAGTTCGAGGATACGTACCTGATGGTCTTCATGTCGACATTGTTCCAGATGCTGATGTGGAACTGATTAGACGTGCCACATGGCACATTGAGGATACTTGGATACTCGTTCAGACTATTGATTGTTGAGGTGGCAGCAGAGGAGGGAGCCCGAAGCAGGAGTGGGCATTATACTTCCTCTCCTTTGTCTCTCCTCCCTCTCCTCTCTTTGTCTGTGTATGATTACCTCACCTCATTCTGTCTGGTTACGATTTGGACTATGTATAATCATCAGCCGATGGACATTTATCTGGGCTTGCATTGTTGACAACTGTCTCACGATCTGGGTAAATTACAGAGGTCCCAAGTAACGTGTGGTGTTTGCTTCCAATGGATTTGGCCTGTCTTGTGTGACAGAGCTCGACTCTTCTCGTTTCTGGCACGGAGGGACGTCATGGCTGCGTCTATGGTATGCAAACGATGGCAGGACGTGGCAAAATCCCCAGCCTTTTGGAGACATGTGGAGCTCGTATCGTTTGCTGAGCGTGTCGGTGACAAGGAGCTGAGAGGGCTTCTTTCCAACCAACTCAAGGTACTTCATCTCACCAACCTCCTCCTATCGTTGTCAATGAAATCATTTGATGGATGCAATTCTGTCACCGGTGAATGGACATAGTACGACTATCTTGTGCCTTTTCTTTTTCTTTTTCTGTTTTTTAAAGCTTATGTTCGCTTGGCCTATTATTACAAAGTGAATGAATGTGCACTGTGCCGCTGCTGAAGGCGGGCATGCCCTGTTTCAGTTACCCTCAGTGATAAAACAACTCTGTCCGTAGCAACGCAGCTGATGAAATGAACTGAGCGGCAGACATTCTTGGAGCCAGACAGCGGATCAGAAGATAAGAGCTCAAACAATACAGCTATCCTCCTGGGTGGGGGTACAGAGAGAAGCGAACTGAGCTATTCCATTGACGGGCACAAAACATTGCAATCCGCATCCCCTATTGGGTGTGGATGGGATGCTCCACACAGCAAATCTTCTGTGGCATCCGGAGCAGGCACGCACTGCTGTGTCTGATGGGAAAGCTGTGCATGAACTGTTGGTGCCGAGTGATGTGGCCAAGGGGCAGAGCTTCGGATGCCCAATTCTTTGTTTTCTCGTAAGAGTTCCCACGGCAGTGTTGATTGGCCAAGGCTATATAGAAGCTGGAGATGCCCATTGCTTTGCAAACAACAAACAGCTGGACTTTGCCACTTTCAGCGTTATGTCACAAGCTTTCAAGGAGAGCTCTACTTGCAGTGGTTTGCCACAGGCTCTCCCTCCTCGACTGCCAGTTTGTTGCATAATCGAGAGACGTCCGGATGTGCCTTTCATAGTCCTGGATGAGGAGCTAACCATTGATTGGCAGATAGTGTCCAGACAACTAATGTATTATAGTTGATGACTCTTTTTGCCCATTGTAAGTTTGTAACGCCTACCTGGTCATTACTTATCAATTTGCACCACACTCAGTCCTGCATGCTAACCAGCTGCACACTTCTGCCGTCGCAGCAGCTGGGAACCACCTGTGTTATTTGTTGAGGGGCACTAGGAAGCCACCATTCATAGTCGTCTGACCCCTCCATGGATTTCAGAAGAAAACGTCTGAAGATGCTGATGTATCGACATTAGTGGATCCCACTCAACTACCGTCTTCATCCAATGGAACACCCTGTCATTATCGTTGTATCTAGACTGAAAGTTGTGCCAAGGGCATTCTATTTGGGTGAGCACGGTAGGGCACTCTATCTAGACTGAAAGTTGTGCCAAATACAACTTGGGAGGCATTCTATTCGGGTGAACACAGTGGGTCAAGTGCTAGCACTTTGCAGACAAGGCGAATCTGGAACAATAAATAATTGTCAGAGGCCGAGACAGCTTCCAGATTGACCACAGACAAGGTGAAAGTGCTTTGTGTATAGCCGTGTAGTAAAATGCAACTTCGGTTTTTGTCTTGTCTGCGGTAGATCTGTGTTGCATATCCCCATCCTCACTGGGTCTTGCTGCACTACGCACAAAAATGAAACTGGTGTCTTCCGCCCCGCAATACGCACAAAAACACTGAGAATGAACTCAAAATGAACAGAAGGTGACAAACATAACAGAAAAGAAGGAAAACAAAAAAACGGCAAACCAACATGCAAGAACTCGTGAGGTTGGGCCGTATATCGGGGAGTTGCAGTAGCACCCTTGAAAACGTGATGTTGCAAGCGGGGCACTTTGCGATGCACAGGATGCCTCGTGGATGCCGGCATCTGAGACCTCACAAACTTTTGTGTGTCAGATGCACCCATGAGCAGTGAGGCCACTTGCGGGCGATGGAGTGAAAAAAACAACTCGCGTCCCACCTCGTGCGGAGACGCCCACTATTTTTAGAAGCGGTTGAAGGTCTGCTGTGCCAGGTCCAGCGAGACACCTTAGGGAAGTTCTGGGCCTGACCTTTTACAGGGTGTCACGAAGGACTCTGGAAGGTTGGGAGCCAGCAAGGCCGTAACCAGTGAAAGTCTAACAGACGGACTTGACAGATGGATATAGGGCCTCGCCACACCACTCACGAAAAGGAGAAAAAGCGCGAGAGTATTCTCGAACTCGGGAATGCCCAAAAAGCCCTTCGGGAGTGGTCATCACCACTCTCCGACCTGGTACTGACTATACCTGCTGTGTCCCTTAGTGCGAACGAACGCTTGTCAGTTTGGGGCGCAGTAGCCTTGTCGGCCTCGACTTGCTCTCCAAATTCGACTTGAAGCCGGCCGTTCTTCAGAGCTCTCCCGAAATTGGCTGTTTGCAGGCGGGGGAAGCAACGAAGTTCGAGAGTACTCACAAAGCCCTCCCTCTGACAGATCCCGAACTTCTGTCTGACTGCTAATTCCGAGAGCTAGTGTGGCGATCGCACCACTTTTGAAAACATAGATTTCGAGAGTGGTGTGGCGAGGCCCATTCTCATGTGACTGATTTACCAACGATCAACTGGGCAGGCAGGCAGAGAGCCACGTACGCAGGTGCACACACACACATGCACTTTCCGTTGTTGTGAGTTAAGTTGGCCACATTTCTCAAGGGTATTGCTAACTCTGGTTAAGGCAGTGAGCCCTTATCTGTCAGTCGCGTGCATCCTGGGATGGGTCAAGGTTCAACGTTCCTGTGATTCAACTTCCCGATGAGTCCCAGGAAACAGTCTGCCACAGTCAGCCTCTTTTTTGGAGTTGTCTTTACATACGTGAACAGACGTGGAACAATGGGTGGGTGGAAAAGCGAGGCAGTAGTTGGCCCCGGGGGGGGGGGGGGGGGGGGGGGGGGGGGGGGGGGGGGGGGGGGGGGGGGGGGGGGGGGGGGGGGGGGGGGGGGAGAGTGGCTCCCTCCGCCTGGAAAGGACCAGTGCGGCCCCCGAGAGAGAGAGAGAGAGAGGGCTGGAAGTTGGCCACTCTCTCTGGCAACAATCCTAGTAACTGACTGCACGTCCAGCAGCTATTGGTGTGCCGACAATGAAATATGCAGGTGACGGTGACAATGTTTGCTCCGAAGAAGTCACTTGGTCCTCCGTAGCTCCTTTGTAGACTTTAAGTACCTCTGCATCCCTGCCGTTCCGTCCTACAAGCTCCCAGATAAAGGTGTCCAGGTATTGCCGTAGGCCTGCTCCTTTGTGTCCAGCTCCACCATCTAGAAGCTCTCTCAAGCTGCTCGTTTATTTTATTCCAACAGTTCCAACTGGTTCTGCATGGATTGTGTTCTCAGCCTAGCCTCAGTGTGGCTGGGCGTTTTTCAGCCCCTCTTACCCTCTGCAGTTGCACTTGATACCCCTCTCATCCGAATGGCTTCTCTCATCAGCTTCATTGATGACAAGAGCCTGAGGCTGAGGAGCGGATGGGTGGAGGTGTTGTGCGCGGCATCCACACTGAGGTCTGGACCTGGCACCGATGCCCCGCAAGTGGCCACAGAAAGGGCATGCTTGGAAAGGTCAGGGAAAGAGTGTGTAACAGGCATGCATATCAATGGCATATTTGGGAAAGTTCATGGAATGACTGGAAAAGGCATGCATATCAGTTGAACACGTGGACACTTAGTGGGTTTATTCTTCTGTTTACGAGCACAAGGCCGAGTACTGGAAAGAACAAGAAAAGATAACCTTCTGGGAAGTTCTGAGGTATTTTGTATGAATTTTTTTCTCTGGTGTTGTATGGTGGATAACAACAATATCCGGACTCGCTATTGTGGCCTAAGGCATTTTGTCTGGGATTGGTTGCTGCATTCCATGAGGAGCATTCATTGGACTCTTCCCCTTACCAGCACAATGCTGTATATAGGAAAGGGCAAGAAACAATAATATCATGAGGTATTTTACACGAATGATTTTCTATGGTGCCCGAGTGGCGTCGGAGGCATTGTGTCAGGGCTTGGTTGCAGCATTCCACTAGGAGCACCTATAGATTGAAAGGTGGTTTAGGTGTTGTAGAGTGGAGATTTGTGTAGAAGTCAAAGCTCCAGGAATCATTTCATGTAGGTGGATAGCATTGTCTCAAAAGGTGGGCCACTGGACTTTTAGACAAAGTGGTTATTCATTTCCAGCACCATGTCTGTAAACAAAACCAACATGTAGCTTGCAGCTTGTCTGTGAAATGAAACACTGCTGATTGCTGTACTAAGAGCTTCATGCCAGCTGAATCACCAGTTTCATTATGTTTGTATGAATGTTTCTCATGCTTTGCAGGATACAAGGGTTCTATCCATGGCGTTGTGTCGAAAAGTTTCACCTGAAGGTTTCACGGCACTGGCAAATAGTATTTGTGGTCATCGACTTGTCTCGCTGGATCTGTCGTTTTGTGCGTTAACTGACAATGTGGTATGTGTATAATTCAGCCTGCCTTCGTTGTCTTCTTCATGCTTGTTTCTCTCCTGGTGCACCCAGCACGTTGCTGTCTTTACGTTGCACTGGATTCCACAGCTCTTGCACGAAACTATCGACTTACTGATTTGTCAGGCAACAACCATTCTGTACTCCTCAATGGTTGCGGGAAACAGTTTCAAGGCCACACATATTTACCGTGGCGCTTGCTGTGAAAGCAAATTGTTGACATTTGTGTATGTTCGTTAATGGCAAAGCTTTTGTGAGACGACCTCCTCGTTCACAAAATCGGGCATTTCGACCCATTCGTGTTCTCCAACGTCAGAAAGGAAATTATGGGTGGTGTTTATCAGCCGACGTGATCACATGAGAATTCCTTTTTAAAAATTGCTTAACCTCCTAAAGAATCTCTGATTCATGAGTATGAATCTTCCGCTAGGCAATGGAACGATGCACCATCACATTTTTGGTCCTTTGTGCATGTGGAGAGTAGAGGAGAGAGGCCCATAGTGTCTTACAAGCTCCCTTCTGTTAAACCACCACCGGTTCTCCCAGCTTCTTTTTTTTACCTGAGCGGTATATTCACTGTGTCCTTGGGGGCTCGGCATATTAAAACTGTATGGCTGGCGGTGGCATCCAAAGCCAAACGAGATTTGCATGACGCTGGTTCGTTGTTTTTTTGGTGCGCAGCACAATTCACCTCGGGAGAAGAGGCTCGGACGTAGTGGTGGTTTATGAATTTGTTCAAGATTGTGGAACTTCAAAGCGGTTCTTGGATGCAACCTAAGTGTATCTGGTTGAAAGTGCAGTGAACAGAAGCTTTGAACTGTGTTCGTGTGTAGACGAGCATTCCGACCGACATGATGAGGTGAAAGTGCATCTCAAGACTTCAAATCCGGTTGGATATGAAAATGTCAGGGTCTACACCCCCTCCTGCAAAAAACTAGATGAAAAAGCGGGCCACGAGAAACCTGCTCAATGCGGCGCTGCTCAATGCCGCGCTGTCATGGCCCACCTGAGATCTTGTAGCTTGTGTTTGGCATGCTTTGTGCCGTGAGGATTATAAAGGTATAGCCCATGCGAGTCTTTGTTTCACACGTACGATGACAGTCAACATTGTACGATTAGGCCCCCATCGCTTGGCTAGCCTTGTGGTGTGACGCCCAAACATCACGCCCAGCGCGACTTCCTGATCGGAGTGGGAGCGGGTCCGGAAGTTGCGAAAAGGGGGTGTGCCAAGGATTTTAGGGAAATGGGGTGGAGTCTCAGGTCGGAACTGGGATCTCCGGTGTCAAGGTTCTAAGGACAAAGATGCAAAGGCAGTCAAATGAAGAAGGGGCGTTCTCAGTTTACGGCTCAGGATGGCCCGGTTCACAACTAGGACAGGTCCCTAGGTGGTGCTCTTGTCGTTTAGCTTCGGTACAAGCCCATCAGGCGATAGGGGTGGCCGTGATCGAGAAGAGACACCAAATTCCATCCTAAGGATTCGTGCTGATGCTGCCCTTCCTATCCATCCCTACACTTATAGAAATCGCTATTCGCGATCTTAAGACTTTAAGACTTTAAGATCGTGCGGCGATCCAGACCGTCCGCTTTGCGCGAGAAATCCGGACCGTCGGGCGGGGAGGACCACGGGAGGCCCGGATTGGGGCGCCCGTTGGAAACAGGGCCTGTTGCAGGGCGGCGCTGTGGCCCGTTGCAGGGCGGTGCTTTCCCTGCACTGAAGTCCAACGGGCCCTCCCGCCTGCCCACCTCGACTCCGCCACCGGCTCCCACCTTCCGCATCCGCCCACCTCCATTCCGCCTCCTCCAGCCATCTCCCCTCCACCACCGCCCACCATCTCCTCTCGGCCTCTGCCCACTATCTCCTCTCCACCTCCGCCCACCTCTTCTCCGCCCGGCACCCACCC